GATTAATACTAAAAAATCGATTCTCCTTATTATTAATCAGAATCCTCAAGAGTTTGAAACTATTCATGCTAGAACAAAAAATACTATAGTTCAATAGATTGACAAAAAAGATCAAGCAAGATTTCTTAATATTTGGCTAAAACCTAAACAAAATAACAGGAATATAATGATCTAATAAAATTAGAAATTAGAACTATAATCCAAGCTATAAACAAGAAGAAGCTAACTTAAAAATATGCTCATAACATTATAAATAGAATCTTTATTCTATAAATAAAATATAAAATGAACATATACATCTTGATGAAAAAACTTGCAATAGTCTTATAGCTATATACTAAAAGAAATTTAAAAAAAAAACCCCTTATTTGTGAAACAGTTGCATTCACAACAAAAAAATATATGAACTTAAAAGTATTTGAAAATATAATTAGAAAGCTATATATTATCATTATTTTGACAATTCAACAATAATAATACTTCTGGTATCACTACAATAATTTATTTAAAACATAGTCAAATTAAAAATTGGTAGTCAAGAAATATCTTAAATAATTCTATAGAATTCAATAAACTCATTAAAGAAAATATTATAGCTATAATACTAGCCTTGATCAACAAATTGCAAATCACATTCTAAAGTTAAAGATGAAAGAATACCTTTGACTATCAAGGAGGTATCCTCTCTATCAAGTCTATTTTGTAAGATAATAAAGAGTATAAAAAGGCTATTTCATTTTTAAAAAGACATAAGATTATATATCTATATCAACTTATTAATATCACAATAATAACATTTAAAGACTAGAGAATAGCTCAAATTCTTTATAGCAAATGCAAGGAATCTGTTCTCTCCTGGTTCAAAAATATACTAAAAAAATAACAATAAATCAGGATCTCTTATGAAAGTCATTACATGAAATAAATTGAATAAGTTATAATATATAAACTAAAGTAATATTATAAACTTTGGATAAGAGAAAAACATATTGGGGAACCTTTTTTAGTACTTCACATGATATAATAGGAAAGATCAAGTTTTCAAATAGCAAAATCCACTTTACTCCATATCAGCTCTCATATAATCCTACTAGTAACTGTATTTTTCTCTATCCAGATATATCAATTTAGTCCTTTGATATATTATCTTAACAAATTTATTTACTTCTATACTTAAATAAAAAAGTTTAAGAAAGAAAAAGCAAATTCTTCTTCTAGGCAATTTTACAGACTGGCAGATACTCATAAATTATCAAAGAATAACTTTTTCAAATAATATTCCAATTAGAATAAAGATATAAGCAAAGAATTGAAAAATCATATTGATCAAATAAGCAATTTAATTAAAAGAATATTAAAATAAATTGATAGGTACAGTATTTTGAAATGCAACAAAATAAAAATGGATAATCATTTCATATTTTATACAGATGGTTCTTTCAAGAAACTGGTCAAAGATAATAAATTAAAAATGGATTTTGCATAGATCCTAGTAGAGAATGATAAAATTCTAAAGCAGTTTTTAGCAAAAGTAGTATTATGGCTATCAATAACTAGAGCAGAGATATTAGCTATTCTTACTGCTCTATATATAGCTTCTTGAGGTACAACAGTTTTAATTATTACAAACTATAGTACTGCTATTAAAGTATAAAAGTTTATCTGCTCACAAAAAGAAGTATCAATAAGAAGATGAATAAAAAATACCAATTGGTTATTATGGAATAAAATCCAAGAGTTGATTTAGAAAAAAGATTTTATTCTTAAAATTAGGAAAGTCAAAGCCCATGATACTAATAACTTTAATAATTCTATAGATTTTCTTATCAAACATGATAGATATTAAAATCTAATATTATGGCATCAGTTATTAGAGTTTGGAAAAGTTTTAATAATAGCTTTATGGAGGAACATATAATGGATATCAATATTAGAGACTTTATTAAAATAGCAAACAAAAAAAAAATTGATTTGAACTGAATATTACAAAAAAAAAATTTAGAAGTTTTGGATTCAACAAAACAAAAATATAGATTGACCAATTTATTGGAACCAGTTCAATCTATTCAATATCTTCTATATATTCTTCAAAATAAACAAAGACAAGAGTTTTTTGACAAATCTGATCCACAATCAACTTCCAGTACTATAAATACTCAAAAAAAGAAAACCAGAAGTTTACTTATTAACTATCTATTCTTTATTCAAATTACAAGAAGAAACACTAGATTATTTTTTTGAATATCCAGTCATAAAAGAAGCTAGAGAATATATAGTATATAAAAGGAAACATATAAAATGATTAGTCTTTATATTGATAAAGAAATAGAAGACAAGAAAAAAATTTCACCAGAGACCACTAACTAAATAAAGAACTGGCTGAAAGAGATTCAACAATCAGATAGAAGTTTTTTCAATACTATATATAGATATATGGAAAAAAACAAGACCATATTCTTAAAGAACTATCTAAAAAAGCTACTAAAGATCTATCTATTAGTTATATAGTCTATAATTAACAAGCTTTGTTAAAAGATGCAAAAAAAATTTCAAGAAAAAGATTTGAAACAGTTATTGTGTCAAGATAATGAATTGAAAGAAGAAGTTGAATATTATCAAAAAAGAGAAATGAATAAAAAAGTGTAAAGATAAATTGAACATATTAATCCTATAAGACTCTAAAGATTCAATGTTACCTCTAATAGAAAATATAAAACAAGAAGATAAAAAAAAGAAAAAAGAAAAGAGTTATATAGAAATTATTAGAGAATAGATTTGTCATAATATTAAACAGTTCAGATTTTAAATTGCAAACAAAACTTAGAATAATCTATAGCAATGACCTGTAGACAATAATTTTATTAATTTAAGATTAATTTAAATCAACAAATAAGTGAAATATTATTTCTAAGTTGCATTTAAAGAATCAATTTTTTATAATAGGTGAGTTAACATGTGAAAGTCATAATAACTTTGTAAATATTTTACATATATTCAATAAAGACTTGTCATATTAACTTGACTATAGGTTAAAAAAAAATTAATAAAAAATTCTTTGTTTTTTTTTACAATTTTTTTAAAAACAATTAAATTAAACAAAACTTTTATAACTATTGTATGATGCTATAAATTAAATTATTATTTGATAAAATTTATTAATATTATTTTAATTTTATCAAATTTTTTAAAGATAAGAAATTAAATATAAAAATAAAATTGTAAGAAAATCAAAAATCCAATATTAACTTTTTTAGTTTTTAATTAAATCAATATAGGAGAATACTTTTTTAAACATTAAAAGAAATCTTGCAAAGTAATAATTTTAATCAATAAGATTTATGAGTCAATAGTGTAGTGATTAGTATTCTATAGATTAGATTACAAGATATAAGTTCAAATTTTATAAGGAGTAGAAATATATATCCATTGGCTTAACTGTATATACAGTATCTAATATTTCTGAATATAACTACTGATTAGTAGGGAGAGAACCTATTTATCAAGTAGATGGTCTATATAAAGATTGTGACTGAATCAATCTTTGATGTCAAAAGCTAGAACAATTTTGAATTGATAATTTTGCCTCTGGCAATAAGAAGAGTAGATCCAACTGATCAATAGAGTACCTCTGAAGATTCAGAACCAAGTACTGGATAGTGCAATGTCTTCACTATCTTAACTATCAGGAAGTCTTGATGGGAGGAGAAATCCATGAATCACTCTGAAGGATCAAATACTAAATTCAAGATAAAGAAATTTGATGATCTGATAATTAATCTGCTCTTAATAAAAAATTGTATTGGGAATAATCAAGAAGGAATCATATGACTTTCTGATAAAATAGTATTTATATATATAGTATAGTCTATATAATTAACTAAATATAGATAAAATACTAAGAATAGTTAATATATATAGTACTTATTTAGTATACATAAGGTATAACAAAGTAATATATCAGAGGACATATAAATATACTGTACTATTACTAAGTAAATCCTATGGTTGAATAAAATTTACTAAATAAAAATCATAGACATAGTACTTCAGTAAATAATTTGCAAGGTGTTGAATTGTCAATGTTGATCTTTGACAAATGGTTGGCAGGTGTAGAAAATTTAGGTCGATTATTCGATGATTCACATAGTTTTAGGAAATTTTTTTCAACACTAGTTAGACCTTAGACTAGTCCTCTTTCTCTTTTTAAAGAGGTGACTAGGCCATAAGGTGAAGTCTTCATAAAGGAGCACTTGTATTGTAACACTTTATTCATTCAAATGTTTCTTATATATAGTTCTAGAGGAACTTTGTTTCTTCCACTGCATGTAAGAAATTCTCAATAAAGTTTTAGCTCTGCCAGCGTTTAAAAAAAAAATAATAATAGTAATAATCTTAACCAATAAATAAATAAATCAAACTCAAAACTTTGCAAGGTTCAAAAAAATATTAAAAATTCAAAAATAATAGCATAGATATTGCAATCTTATTTTTTTTAAAAAAAAAAAATACTAAAGCAAAATTTTTTTGTTTCATGCTTTATGTTCTTTAATTTTTAATGCGGTATTCAACTAGTTGAAATAAAAGAAGACAGTAGACTTTCTTCAGATATGCTCCCAAATGCACGCTTGATTAAAATTTTTACATAATTTCAAGAGGAAACGTTTAGAGAAGGCACTCTATTTAGATAATGATAAACTTTATTGCATTTATATACTTAAGAAACCAAATAGTGTGCCTCATTGTCATGAACAATTAATGATTGCATTAATCACGTAAAGTTTCTCAATTTACGCTCAATTCCCAGGTTTCTATTAAGATTTATTAGTTATCGTAATTTCTAATGGTTGAATCTAATTGGTTGACTCGCCTTTAATATAAAGCAAACGAAAATTAATGTATTGTGGGAAAAATAAAACCTATAAAGCGGGAGTTAATGTAATAAGGGGAAGACAGAAACCTATCCAGCAAAATTATTGTGATAATTAATAATGTAACTATTTCTAAAGCGTCATCATACCAGCGGCTACAACAATCAATAGATAAATCATTGAATATGATAAAGCGTTTGCACTGCTTTGTGTCGTCGTACTGTTATTGTTTGGACTAGAAGTACTACTACTGGAGGTAGATCCAACAGTCGAAGTACTACTGCTACTATTTGATGCTGGTCCATAAGTAGGGGTAGTGGAGGCATCGTCAACTTCATAGTAAGCCGGAGGTTGTTTAGGAGTTCCGCAGCTATTCAGTAATTCAATGTTATCATAATGGACGTACACGTATTTATACAAAGCAAACAAAACCACTTACACAGAACTATATGCGTTAGAGCAAGCTACGATACAGGATTGTTCCCCATTACAGGCTTTTTGACAAGACTGACAATATAATTAATATACGTGATATTAGTTACGTGTAATTTTTCGCAATAAAGATTTTTAATACTTGCCTGTCCACACCCGACACAATTAGCATAATTAATGGGCCATTGATAAGCTTGGTAGTCAGGAATTTTGGATTTACAACCGCTATATAAATTTTTTTAAAAAAAGCACCAAATTTTAACGTCACGTTTTACAATATGATAAAAAAATGCGAACTCACCATCCCCAGCCCATAGTGGTAACATTACAGAAATTCTGTTTACAAATGAAGAATTAACGAAAATTTTATGTCTCAAAGGACGGATGTTACAAGGATATACATAAATACCTTTGGCGCCTAAATAAATTAGTTGAGGGAATAAGTAATTATAATACATTTTTTTCCCCATACGTTAAAATATTTTGCAATTACTTACTTCATTAATACCACCGCAGTTGTTCTGACAATATGCAATGTTTTGATTGCAGAGGTTTTGTCGATCCCCAAGAGGTTCGTTAACAAGATTGTAAGTGAATGATGGAAGTGCCGCTGACGAAGTAGGGGTCGATGATTGTGCTAAAGATATAGTCATCAAGTTATATCAACATGCTCTAATCTAATATGATTAATAATGATATTTAAACACGAATAATACCTTCGACACCGAGAGCAACAAATGCAACAGCTGCAATAAAAGCGAGTGTGGTAAAAAACCTCATTTTTTTTTTTTTAGGAAAATAATAGAAAGGATAAAGAGCGAAAAGAAATTTAGGAGGTAACGAGTGAAAGAGGGTACGGACGAAAAAACATGGAACGTTGCGATTAATTGTCAAAATATATTGCATTCCAAATCGGGCAACCTCCTAAATTAAAAAGTCGTTTTTGGTCATTTATCAACCAATTAGCATGAGAAAAATTCCCGAGCAATGCACTAACCATTGACTTTTTATTATCACGTTGGGTGGACAAAGGATTAAAATGGTCAGGTCTTTTAAACGGAGTTCTTTCTATTAAAAAAAGCTACTCATTTTTTTGCTATTATTGAATTTGAAAATATTTTGTCGATTAATTAAACTCACGTTTAGGTTGAAAAAATAAGGCCGCAATTTACTTTTACCTCGAAAAACTCGATGCGATGAGCATTCTTCGAATATATTTCGTTTATATTTGTACAACAGTTCTAGTGCATAAGTTCGTCTTACTGTATTAATTTCTAACGATTTCATTTGTGAACTTCAATTGAAGTACTGGGACTCGGTATTACCATTTCTAAATGTGGGTTTCGTTAAATTATTTTGTATAAAGATGCGATTGGCATTTGTTATCGCCTTACAGTTGAAGCTCCAACTATAGAAGATAACACATTACTCTTCGCCACTGAAATACTTTGAAACAAGAAAGAAAGTAAGTCTTTGAATGAGTTAGTCCAGTTTATAAATAGATAATGCCTAAAAAAGAATTAACAGTTACTGTAACCGATTTTTTTTCTTAATATACTGTATGTTGTATAGTAGTTTGAGCGCAGTAACTACAATTTTTGATTTTTGATTTTTAAAAAAAATTTTTAACCCTCTGTCAGACTGGTTATTTGTGCTTTATTAAACATTTATAAACTGTACATATGAAATGTGATGTTAAAACCAAATCTCTAATTAACTTATTTATCTTGGTTACCGTATAACTTGGTCATCACCACAAAAGTACCTACAATTTTTTACTATAGATTGGTGTATTTGTTAAATAACTTTAGTTTTAAAAAAAAAACGATTTCAAAAATAAAAAATTGCTATATTTAATTAATTTAATTAAAATATTATTGTAAATAAATTTATTTAATATTAGATAAAAAAAAATAATTGGATATTTATAAATAATACTATTTGCTTTTTTTGCAAGTTTAAACAATTTTTTAATAAATTATTTTTATTTATAATTAATCAAAACTTAATAATTCATTAATTTTTAATTATTACTATATAGATAAAAGTAAAAATCTAAAAATAATATAATAAAAAATTAATATTATTAAGATTTTTTGCAAATATTAAAAAATTCTTTTTACTAATTTTCTACTTATATATAAAAAAATATTTATCTAAATATATATATATATATATATATATATTTTAAAGTTCAACTGACAAGATAAAACTTTATTGAGTATTCAATAGTATATTTTTAGATTATATAAGCAATTACATAATAGTCCTATTGAACTACCTATCTTGTAAAGTTCATCAATTTTATTAACTATTAATACTATTTTTATCAGTTGCTTTACTTTGCCTAAGCTTTATAGTATTTTGAAGATCCATTATTGGACTATTTATTAAATCTTCAGAAGGCTTGTAATGTGTATTCCTTAGAAAAGTCATGTGTACTATTTTTGATGATGGTAGGTACTATGAACAATTCTTACTATATTTGGTTCATCATAGATTAGTTAAAACCTTAGATAATACAATCCTCTGATTATATTCTTTGATATCTAACAATTTAATGGTATTACAATAATCAGATAGCATATAGTCTTCCATTGCCTTATTTTTAATCACTCTTGCAAACTGGTCTATAGAGATTTTCCTTGATTATTACTTTTTGAATTGCTTCTTTCAAATTGTTGATCCACCCCTATAGTTCCCAACATAATACTAAAGCTAATTAACACCTTCACAATAGCTGTTTTCTTTGATAGCCATTGGTTGAATAATCAAAATAATCTCATACATATCTTATTCCAACCTATTACATTTTTTACAGATATAAGTGATTGAAGTTTCCCTTATCTTTTATAGGATATAGTTTTGACAAAAGATAGATTTTTTCTTCCTATAGCCATTGAGAGGTTGAACCAATCAGGGATTCTATTCTTGACTTATTTTAAACTTTTTACATATTCCAAATGGCAAGATTTGTAGGTTTGTTCCTTAGTGCTAAAACAAGTCAAGGCTATATAACCTGAAAGTAACCATGGTCAGTAATGATTATAATGGATCGAATCGGATCAGATTTTAACTAGATTTAATCTGATCCAGTTTTTATAAATATGAATCAAATATGGATCCAATTTATTTTAAACTGATTCAATCCGATTCGAAACCATAACAATTTGATCTAATCTGATTTAAATTCAAATTTGATTTGATTCGATCTAATCTGAATTCAAATTTGAATCCAATTTGGATTCAATACAAAAACAATTTGAAATGGATTTAGTACATTTTGAATCTGTTTTAAAGCATGTTCAACTATAACTACTTTGATTTAACTAAATTAAATTAAATATGTTTAAATTAACCTGTCTTTATTTTAATAAAAAAAATTTTAACTAGTATATTTTTTTTCGGAAATATTTTTTGACTATATCTTAATTTCACTATTACTATCTTTAT